GGGGGGTAGTACGCCGTGTGTCAGTCAAAGCGCCGTCAGTCTGTGACTGTGTGTCGTGAACATGTCCCTGTTTCAAGCTCGCCACTTGGCACTACACAATAGCGGACCGCCGGAACTGACACTTGTTCTCTTGTAGTTTTGGGGTGTTTTACTTCATGTCAGTTCTTTGCTCTCTTTGTTTGGGTTTGTTTTTTTATATAATTAATATTGCTATTGTTATTTTTTATTTTATTATTGTTTATTTGTATTATTAGTATTTATTATTATTATTTTAAAATCATTTATTCCCTCTCTTTTTTTTCAAAAATGCTTTTTTACTAGATCTAGTCCATCCACTGTTGCTAATTTGGGGAGAGAGGGGGGGTGTCTATTTTTAAAATCTTTTTGTTGTGCATTCATTCAGCTAAGATATGTCGTTTTGGTTTTGTTTTTCTGTCTGGTGCCGTTTTTCCACTCAGTGGTTCCTTGTTGGGCGTACATTACATAGCTCTGGGACTTGGGACGTGTGGGGTGGAGAAACAGCTGGTGATTCTGGATGTAGTGGTTGTCGTGGTAGTGGTGATGTTGTCGTGATGTTCGTGGATGTAGTGGTTGTTGTCGTGGTAGTGGTGATGCTGTCGTGGTGTTCGTGGATGTAGTGGTGGTGCTTCTGGATGTAGTGGTTGTCGTGGTAGTGGTAGTTGTTGTGGTGGATGTTGCTGTGGTGGATGTTGGATATAGTGGATGTTGTAGCTGTTGTGGTGGTGGTGATGTTGTTGGATGTTGGATAGAGATCTAGTAGATGCTGTAGCTGTTGTTGTTGTGGTGATGATGTTGGATGTGGGCGATTCGTTCCGTCATGTGGCACGGCGTGTGAAGTCTGTGGTTCCCCGTGACTGTACGTTCTTCCTCTCCGAGCGTGTCTTGTGCGATTTCTCCTGGTGGGACTCTGGGCTCCGCCGCGCCGGCTGCTTCTTGTTCGCGCTGATAAGGATATTATTATGTGTTCTATTGTACATGTGTTATATTACACACATGTGTTCTATTACATACATGTGTTGTATTCTACATACTGTACATGTGTTCTTTACGTGGTGCGTTGTGGGATGATGGCGAGCTCAAAGTACAGATGGGTTGTGTTGTGTGTGTGTGTGTGTAGCTAGGTGTGTGTGTGTGTGTGTGTAGCTAGGTGTGTGTTTGTTTGTTGTGTGTGTGTGTGTGTGTGTGTGTGTATGCGCGTGTGTGTGTGTGTGTGTGTTGTGCTCTCTGCTCTGGTTTGAGTGGCTCCTTGTTTCTCCTATCAAACATGTCTTGTCCTCTCTCTCTCTCTTTCTCTCTCTCTCTCTCCCTCTCTCTCTCTCTCTCTC